TATGGCTTGTTTCTTTTGCTGGTTTTTTATTAGAACAAATTTTTTTTTCTTTTCTCCTGGATGAGGACTTTGTCTATTATTCTGAGCACCTCACCCAGAGATTGCTCTAGAGCGGAAATCGAGGGTATAATTTTGGAAGACGCCAGCTCGGAACTCGTAGAGTGTAGCCCGCAAGAAAGCAGAATCGATCCGCATTTCTCGCGCTATAGTAACTCCATGTAACCGTTGCCATCGACTACTCGCTGGAAAGTGACTGGAAAGTTTCTCGAGAATGAATTTCTCCGAAAGAGGGGAGCGGGGTTAAGGAAGAGATCAGTGGCAGTGCGGACGTTAAGGAAGAAGATCCAAGCCTCATTTCTTGAGTGTATGTTTCTCGTTTAAGCTCACTAAACCCGCCATTCTCCGCCACAGGCCCGAGAGAAAATCAGATGGATCACTAAAGATTTCCGGTCATTGTTTTCGCAGGTAACCAATGTATTTAGGACAAGGTTCAGTAGTGTAGAACCAAACGAAGGTTGTATTCTCCTGCTTCTGCGCAAAGGTCGTTGTTTCCCTCAAGACACACCTTTGCGATTCTCAATTCCTTCGCTTTCGTAGACATCCGGTCACATACCGGAAATGGTGGTTTGACACCATTCTAATCGGCGTAGACACTACTATATCGAAACCCAAAACAAAAAATGTAACCCGCCAAGGGCCTTACCACGCGCGCGGATCGGGGTTCAAGTCCCGCATCGCAGTTAGAAAGCCTGGTTGGCCTGAAAGGGTGCCGCTCAGGTCAACCAAACCCTTCCGAGGACGGTGAATTGGTACCAGATTCGTCTGGGAGGATAAAACACTGACTTGTACATCGGCTGGCCACCGCAAGTCATTGTATAGGCCACATCGCATCCATTTAACTGAAAATGACAGCCTATTCTTTGTAAGTTCTGAGTTTATTCTCTACTGTGTTTCATCTGATTTATTTGCTCATTGAAACCAGTGAAGCGTGAGTTCAACCCATTTGAACAGACCTGAAGCAGTTCAGCAACTAAATAGCTGTTTGAGACGGGCTGCCATGCTTTTGACGTAAGGAGCCAGTCGTTAACTAATAGCTGAGCTATTTATGCTGGGGATGAATACTACTTTAGTTGTTTTTGTCTGCGATATTCACGAACGGCCCGGAAATCGAGTCGTATGGCGCGCTAATCCTTGGAGACCTTTTGCATTTTTCGTTAAATGCAAGAAAATGGTAAAGGTGCTCTCTGAGGCAGTAACTTCGCGCCGTCTATATCGTTCACGGCTCCTATAGGCTTAGCATTTTATAAAGTGAAAGACGCTGTGGTAACGATGCTCACTCAAAGGTGCAATCTGCGGGCATTCGACTTCTTGGCAGAGGCGAAAAACATGTAATGTACTGTAATGTACCCGTACTGTGCTTTCTAATTTGGTTGGCCTCGAAAAAATTTGGCACTGAGTTTTCATCAGATAACCTTATCAGCTTCAACTGATTTCCTGATGTCAATACCATAATGACGCGGAGGACACCCTACGTATAATCCTTATCCCTGTGACGGGGTAGGCGTGACATTTTAACATGGCACAGAACTGGTTACTGGCGTTGAGGTAATTTCAGTTTTGAGTACAACCACCGTCTTATTCTTTGTTGGACCAGAGACCGTGGACCACATTGGTCAAAATGAAACTATCTCCTCCAAAAGCATAGCCACAACGTGGCGTCTAGTCGAAGTATGCAGCCCACGCCTACTGCATCTCAGGGATTTTCGAGTATACAGGGGGAGGGAAAAAAGGTCACTTCGAACCGAGAGCAGTCACATATGCAGAAGTTTCGCTGCCCGCGAGGAACGGCGTGGATGCGAAGTACCAGGGCGGAAGATACCCAAGATATTATTCTATAAGCAGGAGCTAGGCTCTCGCCCATCACCTTCATGTACACCAAAATATGAAGTCATCTCCAGTCGCAGCCTGACTGGAGAAGACCTTTGGAATTCATGTCACCTCCAAACAGCTGCGAAACTTCTAGTATGGAGTCACCCATGGATAGCTACCTGGAGACCAGTACTCTCGATCTGGATGACCTCCAACATCGAGCAGCTCCGACAACGTCGCTACGGTCTAGGACATCATCTTCACCACAGTCGCCAAGGCGCGAGTTGATGGTATGGACCGGACGCACCTGGAATGGGGAGATTGGAATATTTTCTTCGCGACCCCGGACTGAAAGTGAGCGCCTAGTTACATTGACAACTCGCTGAAGAATATGCCTGCTCCTCACATGTGTCGCCCCCCGTACCTTCTTGGAAACTTTGTACTGCTACAGCATTGAGTGCCACCACATGAAATCGAAGGGCGTTGGAGAAACACTCGCCTACTTGGAATGGAAGGGGGCTGAGTACCTAAAGAAGATGGAATATCAAGAGGGTCACCTGACCTGAATCCTCTCAATTACCCGGTTCGGGCGGAGTTCAATAGGGTGGTCTACGGTGGCGGAGAAATCGACTATCTCGCTGATCTCAGGCACCACATCGCGGTCGCGTGCCAGAATCTCTCGATGGCGCTCGTCCAGAAGGCTGTGGCGGAGTGTCATGATAGTATTTAATATGCTCTTTAATATGGTGGTAAAAATGTCCGATCAGAATTTAATAAAGTGTAACTTATAGCGCCTCGAAAGTCAATGAAGGAAAGTGACTTTTTTGCCTCCCCCCCTGTATGTACTACGTTCAACGCTTTACTAGAATATCTGTTTCGAAGTTTCTACGAGGCCCCTACTTTCTATGGCTTTTAGCCATCGAATTTTTCGGCATATGCAGCTTGAATTGCCTGTCATAAATCTGGTTGGAGACGGTGACATCTACACTACAGTAGAGTACGGTAAAACGTTCTTACCAAACGCGGCAATTTTCTGGCGGGTAAACTTTGCTGCTGAGGTCTGGAATTGTCGTAAGGAGTAGTAGTTGGAAATAGAGAAAGCAAATGGTCTGGAACGTAACACTCTCGGGCGTAGGTGGTTTGTTTCGCCTCTCACCCCGAAGCTTTTTCTCTTTGCTCCAGACGAATGGTTATTTCAATCAATCCCGGAGCTCGGCACTGGCAACTTTCTGAGGTGTTCAGCTGAACTCGCATAGTGAGTTTCACAGTTGGGCAGGGCACATTCTCGTGATTGAGGTAATCGCGATGGGGGCCAGTTCCCTCGAAATTCCTAAAATGGAAGCAGCAAGTTTCTCTATCAACGGATAGTTACATCAGTAGAGGCAGTCGTGCGTCCCTAGCGGTATTGACCTTCAGGCGGAATACCTCCTGCTTTAGCCGTAGGAACAAATGGGTGGCGGTCTATTTACTACATTTCTCTCGGAACGAAGCATAGCTGAGAGCTATGGCGTGAGGATTTCACGCCGTGACCCGCAGCTATGCGTGGTTTGTGATTCTGAAATGCTTTCAATCTAAAGGAGTTTCGGCGACTTTATTAAAGGCATAAGACACGATCATTTGGGGCGCGGTCAAAAATGACAGTAGGTGTGCTGTATATGCGGGGAAAATGGCGAAAAAGAGATGTGAAACGATCAAAAGTCTGCAAAAAGCGTCTGTCTTACAAGACTCAGATGAAAATTTTGGATTTCCCATTTGGCAATCGTGCAGATAGGCTGTTACGCCTTGGGGATTTATCGCGCCACTTGCCTTTCAAATATACGGGCCTGATCTTCCACAGTGCCTCGTAATGTTAGCCTGATATTGCACTTCCTCTTCACCCAGATCTCCCCCGCTCTCTTCTCGTTCTGCTAATCCGCAGCTCATATTATCTCATGTTCTCATGTTATCTCTTTCCTTTTTTACTTCTACCCGGAACGTAGATGTATCTATTATAGAGAGAATGTTCTAATTAGCTTTCGTTTTTCTATCACTTTCACTGCTGCAATTTTGTCACTATTCTTACTCCGCTTCTGCCTTATTTGGTCGCAATGAATGAATAAATAATCAAATTTATGAGAACCCAGTCATGTCTAGACCTTTGTTTATCTACCTGTCATCTCCGATTTCCTCCTTTCGTGACTTACACTTGTTAATGCTGACTTCATTATGTTTTCGCGGATAACTGCGTCATATACTAGTTTTTTTAACTCTGTGACCACTCAGATCTGCATTTTCAGATAAAAAGTACTTCAGTTCCGTTGAGAATGTATCATACAGATCGGTCTATGTTTATAAATTCAATCTACGCCTACTTACTCGAAGGTTCGTCATAATGATGTTCAGCATTTCCTTCTTCTTTACATAGACAATAGAATTCATCCGAAAAATCTGTATGACTGCTGTTTCAGGGGCAATAGTAGTGATTCTCAACGTTCCTCTTACAATTACAATGATTCTTATGAAGAAGATACGATCTCGTCGTGAATTCCAAGGTGAGGTTCAGCAGTCGAATTTAGAGGCTTAGGGCACGGCACGTCTTTGAGGAACAGGACCCATCATCGCAAAGTGGAAAGCTCCTGCCGAATACGGCCCTCCTGCTCACTTCCATCCCTCGCTACGAGTCCCTCTCACTGCCCACCCACCAGCCTCACCGAATTTAAAAAATGCTACAAAATTTCAAGATTCCTACGAAATTTTTCAGTATCTTCGAGCGAGGGATGGGAAAATTATAGTATGACGGGAGAAATCAACAATATCGATAAGTTTCTTTGACACTAAGAAGTACTTTCCTTCCCAGTAACAGAATAAGACCCCTTAGGTTGCGATCTACAAAGGATCGTGTGCCTTTGTTGAAAGATCCAGATTTAATGAGTTGTATTGGACTGCTGAGTTGCGACAGCCGTCAAGTATCGCAATGTCAGTGGTAGCGCTCTCAATGAGGAGCGGAGCTTGTGCTGCCGAGAATCCGTTTGTGCGTGAAATCTGAGAAAGGGATCGCGCAGACGCGGCTCTTTCCATCATTGCCCTGGTTCCAAGCGTTGCGTTGTGCTCCGACTATCAGTTTTTCACACTCCTTTTCTTTTTCTCCTTATATCCCGGAAATACCAAGTTCTCATTCAGTTATCATCGGTCTCCAAATTACTGATGTTGCTATTCGGTGCTGGCCTTCTGTTTAACAGGAATATATTAGGCTTCAAGGATTCGTCGACTACTGAGGGAGTGAGTATACTAGTGACGAAGCGAGATGATCCCCGGTTGTCTCATGAATTAAGTGTTTAGCTATACCGCCCGTATACCGCTCAGAATGCACCACATTGATATTTGTACAGTTGATGACTATTTCTTATCAAATGCAGGTGAGTCGTTAACAATCGTCCTACTACTGGTCTCCGTGAACTGCGCGACTGTTCGATCTGCAGGACCCTTCCCTCCCACACTCTAAGGAGATGTGGCGCGCATTCTGCTCCCGTTCCGAACTGCAGTGGCTCGATTTATGAATTTTTTCTCGGTCCTGTCCAATGAAATGGGGGAGCCAGCCGATGTTCGTCCTAATCAGTGTTTCAATATAGCAGATTGAGCTGGTACTAAATATGTCGGCTTCAGGGAACAGAAAACCCAGCAGTCAGTGGGCTGGGCGTGAAGCGGTATAGGCTTGACCCGGACTCGAGTGTTAATCCCACTAATCCATCCTAGCTTGCGCTGGCACGCATTTCCCCCCCCACCTGATATGATCGGAATTGGAACACACTGGAGACCTGCTAATTTGCCTTCGTAATTAAGCATTTACTCCTGATAACCCGACCAATGGTTCCACTTGAAAGCATGTACTCTCGAACAGTGTGGTCGGCGAGTTAGTTCGGCCGCGTGTGTAGAAAAAGTTGGCACACAGCTTCATCCCTATACCGACGCCGATCTTTGCTTCACAATCCTATTCAGGCGAAATAAGACGTTACCATCATTCCGAGATGGGACAAAGAATGCTAGCGCACACCGTGTCAGGAGGAGCGAACATACTGAATTCCACAATGGTTCTCGCCATGCTATTCAGGCGCAAAAGAGTTGCATTCAAAGGAAAGCGTGGATTTCGAGTAGTATCGCGAATGCCGTAGGCGCTATCCATGTGTAATTTTGCAGCAGCGTCAGACTTTTGAAGGCTTCATTTCTAGTCCTACTAAAGGATTGAAATGAAGTTCTGCAACTCCCTCTTTCCTTACTATATAAACCATTTCCACTTCAAATTCACCACTTTTCAAAGCAAATTCACCACTCTTTTTAGACCGGGCAGTTCACCCACCAGATCACGCCAGACACCACTGCGAACCCTGCCCTCGACGGTCACGCCTATTGTCAGCGGCGAATTAATGATATTTTTTCAAAATTTTTTGCATTTTTGGACTGCTCCACGAAGCCCCGCCCACTAAGAGGGCTCCGCCCACTTTGAAGAAGCCCGCCCACTTTTCAAAAATGGTGCAGATCGGCAGTATAGAGCCTTGGCTTGCATGCTAGGGCCTCGTCCGTCACTCGGAACAAACTTTGCCTGATTAATTTGTTCCGAGTGACGCGACGAGGCCCTAGCATGCACCAAGGCTCTATACTGCCGATCTGCACCATTTTGAAAAGTGGACGGGGCTTCTTCAAAGTGGGCTGAGCCTCTCTTAGTGGGCGGGGCTTCGTGATGCAGTCAAAATGCAAAATTTCGAAAAATACTGAAAGATCCGCCAAAAGCAAGTGTTTGTGGGCCAAGGAGCGAGGAGCGAGCTGAATTGCCGAAGCATGAATGCGGCGTTACGAGTAACTTCTCTGTGCAAAATTCTGGAAATGTGAAAAAGTTAAAAGTTATGAAATTTCGAAGTTCGCAACAAACCCTTTAAAGACTGGGCGGAGTCGGCCATGTGTTGAAAATCTATGTCCGCGCTGACAAGTAGGCGTGACCGTCGAGGCAGGGTTCGCAGTGGTGTCTGGCGTGATTTGGTGGTCTAGAAAGAGTGGTGAATTTGCTTTGAAAAGTGCGTGATTTGCTTGATGAAGTGTATTCAAGAAATGTTATATACCTATACAGTCAGTAAAAGCTTAAATGCCAGAGTCGGAAGCATGGTTGCTGTTGCTGCGGCCCGGACTTGCTAAGTGCCCGCGATGCTTTAAACACTTGACTTACAGTCGGAATAGTCGAGGCCTTCAAATGATTACATCGACTGAGAAGAGTCCTGAACCGAAAAGCTGGTTCTGAACCGACACTGGTGACTTAGAAGTCACACGGTCCTGCGGGGTACAGAACACCCATCAATCTTTTCGCCCACGTTTTTAATGTTTTTGTGCTTTTGTGAACGTTGTCATGTAAACATCTATTTCAGGGTATTCTGTCGCTGGTTGTGGCATTTGATCGTTTCCTAGCTGTGACTCTTCCCATAAAATATGTTAAACTTGGCAACTGCTACCATTTCATAATTATTGCAAGTATGTTTATTTAGTGGTTTCTCAGAGCCCTTGTAAAGATGGAACAAGAGGCGTTTCCACGGACTTGGTTGCGAGCGGGGCGGCTCTAGGGATGTGACATGTTTGCTGCCATATTCGCATCAGTGCTTCTCCGTGTGGGGTGCAATCTCTCACTAGTACTCTACATCCGCCTCTGTCCTCCGCTCTTTCTCATAGCTGTCGCTGTGCCCGCAACAAAAGGGGGAGTGACGCCACTTCCGGCTTTCAGGTACGGAATGTGTGTGAGTGATGCCATTCGTTATAGAATGCTCTTAAACTATGCTCTTAAGCATCTGGAGCTAGCCTTAAAAATTTGACAAATGAGAAAATGGGCATAACTTCTTAACAAGCAGCATTGGCCGCTTCGAAGGCAATAATCTCTAATTCACCAACTGTCCATTAGTACATCGTAAATTGGAAGCAATTCTGAGTTGATTAATCAAATTCCCCAAGTGATACCAGGAAATCTACGAACAGAAGTAATCTAAAATGATATTTTCCCACCGGAAAATTGTACACCATTAGCACTTGAAAAGAAAAAAAGGGATGAAAATTTCAGAGGAGGGCTCAGACGATCACGACGGGGTCACTAAGGATTGTTGGCATGATTAATAGTACCACGAAAATCAGCCCGAATTCAGTTTTGCCTACGCCCCCATGGGAAATCGTTTTTCGTTGAACAGTGAATCAGCAAGAGACTTTCTATTCAGCAGTAAGTCTCTACGCGACCACCCTCAGCTTGGATTCAATCCGTTTCTTCATTAAATCGATAGGTGCGGTGAGGTGCAGTTCCTGAAAGCAACAAGGGGCGTAGCTGCGAAGGCGGCAATGGCTGCGAGGTGTTAGAATCAAAGAAGGGCAGCGACATGTGTATGCGAGAGAAGAGGGTCTGCCTCGAGTGTCCTCCGATACAGATGGTCAACATCTTAATTGTTGTAACTCCAGGGTCCAGAACTTTGACCCACGCCACTTACAAGTACCAATCTTTCTACGCTTCTACTTCATAGCGGAACTTCCAAGCAGAAAAGTGGTAGTAGTTTGGCCCAGGAGGGCATGAATTTATATGTCTGTATGTATGTCAATCTGCCCGCAAATTCGGCTCTACCTGAAGCCAGTAGTCAGCAGAAAGTAACTGAAAGTGGCTAGTGGATGGAGGAATGGAATAGAGGAGGCACACCTGTGACGGCGCAGCGAGCACCACGGCAAGGTGAAACAGTCAAATCCATACGCGAAACAATCAGTGGGAGCGGCGGCTGATTCACCAGTTCTCCTCCTCCTAAGAGCAGGGCACGCCATTGCGTTGTGATCATTTCCTAAAAAATACGACCCCCCCCAAGTAAGGGTCTTGATACGACCCCCCCCCTGTCACGAGGGTAGAAACGAAAAGAAGAGCAAGGATGAAGAAATTGACAATAAAGAGAACTAGGCATTATTGAACTATCCCTACCCCAACAATACAAAAAATTTTCGCTGAAACTTTGTCTATCGATGTTATTCGATGTCCTGATCACGAGTGTGACATCATTTTCCATACCAGCACTATTTAGCGTCTCTACCGTGCAAGGAGTCAAGGATAGTCGAATGCAAGCGCCCTTTAACCGCCTGATCGCGTCCGCATCAAGAGAGAGTCCACCACGAAGTAGAATCACAATAAAAGCAACCCTTCTCAGTACAACACTCCATTCCTTGATTACAAACAAATACCCACTGATTCCGGGCGCATTTCTTAATACTATGCCGACCTAGGAGACTTGGCAGGCGACATAGTTGTGTGAAATATCCAACAACAACCCCAAGGGATACAATAACTAATAATGAATAAATGGAATTGGCGTAGTTATTTGACGTCGGAACAGTCGGCGGCTCAGAAAGTGACTTGTTGTGCACCGAAGTTTCTATTATAGCATTGCTAGAGATGAATGCAAAAATAACAAATACAACGTAAGCACAACAGCTGGAAACCACAACTGAATAGAGAGCCGGCAATTTTTGTCTTCGTTCTGATTCTGATGATGACTCAGTGGTGAATTCCACCCGCTCTTCAGTGGTGAATTCCAACCGCTCTTCAGTAGAATCCATATCAGGCTACAGTACTAGTACTAAGAATGCTAAGTACGAAACATGGTGAAGCTCAAGTGTTGTTGTCAGCTCAAGTTGTCAAAGTGCGTTTGAATAGCGATTGCTCGCGGTCAACCGCACGCGAGCAGTGCAATTCCCACGCTAATACAAGCTCATTGGAGCGCGTTATTTTACGACCTGGGATCAATTTCAAGCCAAACACTCGAAAGTACCCCTTTTTGAACACCTATAACTTCTGAAGCTGTTTTGTTATGATAACTGCTGTTTAACGCCGCAGTACGCGTTCCGAATGTTATCACAAGAATGCTGAGTTGTGGGCAAAAGTCGTGCCCCAGGCGGGAGTCGAACCCGCCTGGGGCACGACTTTTGCCCACAACTCAGCATTCTTGTGATAACATTCGGAACGCGTACTGCGGCGTTAAACAGCAGTTATCATAACAACAGCTTCAAAAACATCTAAAGCCTTAGGCCTCGCGGTTTCATGCCGATATCCCATCGATTACGGCTGACCGGCTCACCAAGTTAAACGTGTGAGTGCTGATAGGCTACGGCATAAAAGCCGTTAAGCTGAGAGGGTAAAAGCGGCCCTGGTGGCGTAACGGATAGCGCACTCGCCCGGAAAGCGTGAGGTGCGGGTTCGACTCCGCCTGTCGGGCACGCACTTTGCCCACAAACGTCAGCATTCTTGTGATACTATACTGTTCGTTGAAGTGAAACGTCTCGGAGAGAGGGGAAGTTGGGAATGACGTAAGCTACGGTTGGTACTTGTTACCTGGATTGGAACGATTTCTGAAACATTTCCTTTCTAGGAAGTTTCACCGTTGTGATCCTCTTGTGATCCTCTTGTGATCATGGGGGGCCAACCACAAGTCGCCACGCTTTGGACATCCATGGCAAGCTTCATACACGGCTTTTCGAAAAAAAAAGGAACCTTGTTGCCGACGCATGAAGCTTTCTACTTTCAGCCCACAGAACCTTCATCGTATCGCTAGGCCTGCCTATTCGAAAAAATTTCCCCCGTTGCTTATCATAAAAAAACGCATCCCCCACCGGTCTCGAAAAAATCAACCCTCTACGCCAGAAGAGTCTCAGTGGCTTCAAGATCATTGAGTACGGTCTAAAACGCATGTTTTTAGCCGAAGGATACCCAGGAAAATAGTTTACTGGACGCCAATTGGCATCACCTCTGCATTGCGCCATGCATAGCGCTTTCACGCAGAGCTATTGGGAAGGTGCAACTTCTAGAAAGGGCTTCCTTCGTGCAGGTAGATGTGCTTGCACGGTCAGAAAGGCTCGGAAGTGTATTTCACTCTGCTTACTAATCATGACGGATATTGATTGGCGCGGAGGCGGGTGTAGCAGCTAAAAAGGCGTGCTAGCACTCGCGCGCATTGCCGGCGTTCAATCACAGGTCGAACTTTCGCCTAGTCAACAAGCCTTCTTCCTCCGGGAACCGTAAGTGGATGCCAGATTCGTCTGGGAGGATAAAACACTGATTTGTACACATCAGAGGCCACATCGCATTCAATGAGCCACTGAATTCCGTGACCCTCACTTCGGAAAGGTCCCGCGCTTCACGACCCCGCGCCTGCCCCTAGGTCAATCGCCCCCTCTTGTGCATGATCACAAACGATGGTGCGTGCCCTGCTAAGAGGCTGCGTGGCCAGAGTGGGCAGCTTCGCCGATCATTCGGTCGGTATGGCGATCTTGGTGTATTGGAGGCAAGCTGTACACTCACTTCCGGACGGAAAGACAAACTTTACACTCATCTCCGGGAAATATCCTTTCAATTTGCGAGGTTATAGTTCTGCAGGTGCAGGCAGTACTGTGCGACTTCCTACGCTTGAAGGGGGGCGGAGCATTCGCTCGGGTGTCACTGCCCTCCAACCCCATTCCCGTGCGCTCTTGATTGGACGCTACTGTAGCTGCAGACCCCTTGACCTCACTCATGGCGGCCTGTACGGTATTTTTCACGAAGCCTTGCGTCTTCGCGCAAAATTGTGCAATGTGGTTTGCTTTATATGGTTTTCGCGCACCACGTAACTGACATTTACAATGTTGAGTTACCTTGAGTAGCGCGTGATTTGCAGAAAAAACTTACCAGTAGCCTTTTTTCAGCACCCTGTGCAACAGTGCTCATTCCTACTGTGGTGAACTTCATGCTGACAATAACTGACCACTCATGGGTTTCTCCACTCTGTCTCACACGTGAAGCTGTTTATCCTGGTTTTCATTCCTATATATTGATGATGCGAATGGTTTGCATAATAATCTCAGGCGCACTGTATCTTCATCTAGTACTACGACTTAAACAGGTAATGTGTATTACATTGGACCTCATCTGTCATATTATGCCTTAACTCTTCGTTGTGTCCCGAGTCAGCAGACGAACAGGAAAACTACATCATTACAAAAGAATAGTAAATTAGTGATCGGAGAAAAACGACGGTATTATACCATTTTCACTTTAAATCGGACACTTTTCAAACCAAATCGGACACTTTTCAAACCAAATCGGACACTTTTCAAACCAAATCGGACACTTTTCAAATCAAATCGGACACACCCCTTACAGTTGAGAACTAGACCACACTAGGTACTGCTGCAAGCCCCGCCCCAACATCCCCACTTCTTAGCGCGGCCATGGTTTTCCAAAATGTTTTATGAATTCTGCTTCTTCGAATTTTTTCACTTTTGCTATTTGACACACATACTTCAACTGAATAGGTTTGGTACCGACACATATATGACTCCGCCCACTTTTCAATGTAGTTACGCAAGTTTTGAATTTTATAACTTTTTTCGACGTAGATCTTTTCACATTGAATCTTCACAAACGAATTTACTCATAGCCATGCATTTGCACACTAGCACACTAAGCCCCGCCCCTCTGACCACGCCCACTTTCGTTTTTCGC